TGTGGGGCTGGAGAGATGACTCAGCGTTTAAGAGCACTGACTGCTCTTGCAGAAGACCTGGGTTTGATTCCCAGCACCCACATGGTTACTAACAACCATCCTTAACTCCAGTTCCAGGGAATCTGATGCCCTCTTCTGACTTCCACAGGCATTTCACAACACGAGTGTACTTATCTACATATAGTCAATATACTCATATGCATAAAATAAAAATAGTAAAACATTTAAAATGGGTTTTAATAAAAGTTTGTGAGCCAGGCGTGGTGGCGCACACCTTTAATCCCAGCACTTGGGAGGCAGAGGCAGGCGGAGCTCTGTGAGTTCAAAGCCTGCCTGGTCTACATATTGAGTTTCAGGACAGCTGGGGCTACAGGGAGACCCTATCTCAAAAAGACCAAAAAAAAAAAAAAAAAGTTTGTGAAAAAGCTATGAACTATTAATAGCATTTGTTGAGTAAAAGCTTTTACTTAGTTCTAGTCCTTAATAGTTACACTTTGGAAAAGTCTTTATAAAAATATGTTAAACATAAAGTTATTAGGGACTGAGGAGATGACCCAGTCAGTAAAGTACTATCTATGCAACCATGAGGACCTGAGTTCAGTTCCCAGTAAAAAGAAGCTGGGTATGGTAGCACCTTTAATTCCACCATTAGGTGGGGGAAGGCGGGGTGTTAATGGCCAGCCAGTCTAGCCAAATCAGTGATCTCCAGGTTCAGTGAGAGACCTGTCTCAAAAAACTCCTATAAGTAACCCAAATAAAACTTAAAGGTTCGGGGATGGAGAGATGGCTCAGCAGTTAAGAGCACTGACTGTTCTTGCAGAAGACCGGGGTTCGATTCCCAGCACCACATTGTGGCTAAAAGCCATCCATAGGCTCCAGTTCCAGGGGAATCCAATGCCTTCTTCTGACCTCTGCGGGCATTGCACAACACAGGTGCACTTACACTCAGGCAATATACTTACACACATAAAATAAAAATTATATATATATATATATATATACCCAGTGTCAGCCTCTGGCCTGCCCTGCACATGCATACTCCACATGTGCGTGCATGTACACATGCACTTTCAAAGGACCCAATTCTAACCCCAAGTTCTATCTAAGAAATGGAAATGTCTGAACATAAGAGCTCCATCTTGATTTTGGTATTTTCTTGGGTTAGTGATCTGTGATTAACCACACTGGGTAGTGGCAGAAGCTACAGCTTCCATCACTGCACTAGTGCAGACAAACCACCCTGCTCTTCAGCAAGTCATGTATATTTGAAAAGTACGTTTTTGGCTTACGGTGTTTTCTTTTTATCACAGATATGTGCAGATATAGCCTCATCGTGAGTCAAGGAAAGTCTATGACTCCATTTAAGGTCCCCAAATAAGCAAACCTATAGATGCAAAAAAATAGATTTTCATTGTCTCCAGCCAGAGGGAAAATGGCTCATGACTTGGGGTTTCTTTTGGGGGAACAAAGAAAATTTAAAAGCAAAAGTCCCAGTTCTTATCCTTTTTTCTAAAACTAACCCAGAATTACTTAGGATTTTATTGAAATATAAACATTGCTATCAAGATTTATTTTGAAGAATTATATATCTTCAAGATTTTGAAGTATTTTTTATTATTACATTTATTTATTTGGGGGAGGGCATGCCATGGTACTAGTGTGGAAGTCAAAGGACAACTTACAGAAGTCAAAATTCTTTTTATGGGTTCTGGAGATCAAACTCAGGTCATCAGACTTGATGGCAAGGTCTTTACTGTCTGAGCCATCAAGATAAAAGCTTTACTCATTAAGTCTCAGAATAATGACGGGACAATATATTTTCCCTTTGTCTTTGTTCATACTCTCATGATTGCCAAGCATATTTGTAGCTACTAATTAAAGTCAGTCTTCTGAGCAGAGGTCTGGCACCTGTGTTGAATCTATTGTTTTCTTTTTCTTTAGTCTTTCCATTTACAGCCTACTGGTACTCCAGGCACCTACCTACTTCAAACAAGCTCAAGTCAAGGCCTTCCCCTAACTCTGACCACAAGTCCCACAGTGACTCTGACAGCTGCTGCTCCTGCTTCCCCTGAACAGATCATTGTTCATGCTTTATCCGTATGTTATATTTTATTTGATTTCTTTTGTGGGTCAGGATTATTACTTGATACAAATAATAAGATAGTTCAGATATCAAAGTATTTTCTCCTACCACTTGTCCCAGGTGTAAGATTTTGCACCATAACTCTGAGTGCATCTCTAATCTCCTCTATCTTCTTTATATTAGATGGACATCCACTCAAATAGGGAATTTAGAAGAGGAAGGGAGCCAGGTGTGGTGCACGCCTGTGATCCCTGCACTCGGGAGTTCAAGGCCAGCCTGGTCTACATAGTAAGTTCTAGGTCAGCTGGGGCTACAGGGAGACCCTGTCTCAAAAAAAAAAAAAAAGACTAAGAATCAGAAGGGACTCAGTGGGTAACAAACAAGGATTCTAGAAATGTGATAATACAAACAGTTCCAGAGGTAAGAGGTATGGGAGGGAAGAATGAGGTGTACCACCTGTATTGTGATTTGTTCAGTTACTTCAGTTCTTTCTCATTTTGCCATTGATAGTTTCCTTTAATGTTTTATAGCCAGAACATCTGTTGAACCCAAGTGAAAATGTCACAGTGCAGTGTCACACACCAAGAGTCATCATTCAGACTGTTGCTACAGAGGACATCACTTCTTCAATATCCCAAGCAGAACTGACAGTTGATAGTGATATTCATTCTTCTGACTTTCCTGAGCCTCCAGATGCACTAGAAGCAGACACTTTCCCAGATGAAATTCCTCGGCCTAAGATAACTATACAGCCATCATTTAATAATATTCATGTATCTAAATTCAGTGACCAAAATAGCACAGAACTGATGAATAGTGTTATGGTCAGAACAGAGGAAGAAATCTCAGATTCTGACCTTAAACGAGAAGAATCACCCTCTGATTTAGCCAGTGCTTATGTTACTGAGGTAAGCTGTACATAAGATTGCAGCCTAATGGATTTTTACTTTTAAGATCTCAAGCCTGCAGTTTGGAAGAGAGATTCTCTAATACTTTTTTTTATTTAGACTCATAAAGTACAAACCTCTACCTCTTCAAAAGTATCAATGAACAAACTCTTGTTGATGGCAGAAATGTGTAGCCAGAGATACCTGAACATAGTTCCTCACTAGCACTTTTCCCCTCTCCACGTGTAACAGATTGAGAGGCATTTGTTGGAGCCCACTCCTGGATCATTTTTGGGCAGTATGAGTAATAGTAGATCTTAAGGAACCACATATATCCCACAGTGTATTCAAGTGATATATGACAATCAGTTCTTAAGTTCCTTTTTGTCAATACTTTATTAAATTAGAAGATTATTGAGATATAAGTATATGTATCTATCTTTCTCTATATTCTAATTTTAAAATAGAATATATTTGAGAGCTCAGTCCTATCAAATGTGTACTTGGGGAATGTAAGGAAAACTAATAAGGAATGAGTCAGAATTTCTTTTTTCTGTTTCCTTATTTTAATATTATTTAGGATTTAGAGTCTCCCACCATAGTACAACAAGTTCATCAAACAATTGATGATGAAACAATACTTATCGTTCCTTCACCACATGGCTTTATCCAGGCATCTGATGTTATAGATACTGAATCTGTCTTGCCTTTGACAACACTAACAGGTACTGTAATAAGACTCTTAATTGTGAGCCTGATAAATCCTAAGGGGGAAAAAAAATCAGGCATTTTATTCCATCGTGTTAGTCTTCTCTTGATCTAACAGTGGTCTTTGTTGATTAAATCCTACATTTTGGTAAAATATTTAAAATTTTTGTCATGGATTAGAGAATAAGTAATATACATTTAAGGCTAACTTGAATCTTAACTTATTACAGATCCCATATTCCAACATCATCAGGAAGAATCAAATATAATTGGATCATCTTTGGGCAGTCCTGTTTCTGAAGACTCAAAGGATGTTGAGGATTTGGTAAACTGTCACTAGATAATGGTTAGAAACAGATAGCTCAGATAAGAAGCCACACTGTTGATAACAGTATCTCTGAAGAAAGGAGCAACCACAAAATTTTTAATTTACCATTCCTCTGGCTTTTACATAGCTACCATGCTTAAGCCATACACATTGTTGCTGCTGTGACTTTTTACCTACTTTTATCATCTGAGATACAACTGTGTGGCAGTGTATTGTTGGAGTATAAGAAGTTTTAATTGCACAGATATCTATTAAGTGTTGTGTCAAGAGGGAATTGCATTCACTCGGCTACTGAAATCACCAAAGCTTAACTGCTCTGGTTTGAAAGCAGTAATACTCATCTCCTCAGATTAGACATGGCCCTCAATCCAGAGTCAAGTAGGCCTGGCTATATGTCAAGAAGTCTAACCAACATGGTCTGACTTAGTGACCTTTAAAAAGATAGTTTGAGACTTGAGCATACAAATTGCAAGAACTTGGGAGGTGACTGTGTGGTGGTTACTTTTAGTTAACCCATTGCTGGCAGTGGGAGCTGATTTAGGCAGGGTAAAGAAAAAAGCATTAAAAAGTCAAGAAGACTCACTACAGGTTTTTGTTAACTTTTAAAGGGAATATGGATTTAAGTAGTAACAAAACCCACCAGTAGCTAAGGTCCCCCTCATCAAAACCAGTCATTAGTTTACAGTGAGCACTTTGACATAAAATGAAATGGGGAAAAAAATAATGTTGCCAGTATCTGATAACCATGACTTTTTATTACATGTTTTGCTATATAAATTACCCAGAAAATAGTTGAGAGGGTATTAGAGTTTGCAGTTCACTTAGTGCATTACCTGGTGGGGGTACGATAGAGTTTCTCCCTCAGGCAATTTTAACAAATTTGCTTCTATATCAAAACAAATCAAAAGTCATTCCTTAGGGTAAAGCCAAAACTAGCCTCTAGGGCTTTAATGAATATGATCCTTATAGAAAAGTCACAAAAAAAAAAAAGAAACCTGTATAAATTATTTTATTTATTATTGTAATTAGATCTTCACAATCAAAGTTGTCTTTTCACCATCTGTGTTTTGTTAATGTGAAACTGTAGTAATAAGCAAAAGTTGGTTGCCTAGGGAACAATAATTGTATATTCAGTTTAACAGAAATAAAAGAGTATTTGTCTTAAACTGCAAGATTTTGAGCCATGCAATTAAATTGTTAAAAAAAAGTTTTAATTTCAAAAGTGAAAATTTTATTTGTGCCATTTGAGAATTGGAATGTTTAAACATGACACCAGCTCCTTAAAGAAAAAGCAGAGATATATGATATCTCCCTTGTAAGAGGTAATTTAGATTTACAATTAACATGAAAATCATGTATCAGATTTGTGTTGAGGGTTCTTCAGTTATTTACTCTCCTTACATATATTTTTCAAGAGTCCTGGTAAGTATTTCTCCTCCGCAGCCTCACCTTCCCACATCATGGAAGTACAGGTTTGCACATATACATAACATGATGATAGAAAATAAGATATAGTAAATTAGATTTCTAAATTTCGGTTCTAAGTCTCCTTGTCGATACCAGTAGATCTAAAAGAAGAATTAAATAAAAATTTAAGTAATGGCCAACTGTTAAAACAATGTAAAATACAACTAATTCTTTTTCTACCAATATCACTAATCATTTGTTTTCCTAAGATAATCTTCAGTTAATCAGCATTCCTTAAATCAATGCAGCCAGAATTTTTAATTCTTTATAATTCAAGTAGTACTACCTAAGTTTGCACATCCCAAGACCACACTTACTTTTGTAGTTTACTTTTTTCGATAATCAAACTTGTACACAAGTCATTTGGCAAGCTATATGAGATACATTTTCAGTGTATTTGAATAATGTATAATTCTTCCAGGTACTACCAGAGAGGAGAACATTAAATCGGTATGTTAACCGATTCAGACTGGATATCCAAAAATACATACATTTAGATTAATTATCTCAGTCTTAGTCTTCCGGCCAGGGGAAACAAGAAGACATCTAAAACAGAATTGGGCCCACCCTTAATTCAGATCAGAGGAGTTTAGCAGAACCATTAGGATTTATCCATGTGGTTCAGAACAACTTAAAAGATTTACTTTCTTGGAAGGTTATTGTTTGAATCAAACCAAGGGCTTCTGTATGTTAGCCAGGATCTACTACTAAACCACAAACCCAGCCCAAGGTTTCACTGTTGGTTTTGTCTTTGAAGTTGTGAAACAACTACTAAAAGACTACACATGGAAGAGCTACCACCATTTTTTTTTAACACAAAAAGGCCTATTTTTAGGTCCTTGTGACAAAGGTATAACTGCAACTTTTAAGTTTTCTAGGAAACTTGGTATTATTGTTACTACATTACTAGTATAAATGCCTCCATTCTGCAAATACAGATTAAAGTGAACTAATTTGTAATTATTAGAATTAAGTCCAAAGTGCTATCTATTCCTGTAAGAACATTTCTCAAAACCTACTGAATCCTGTATATAGTCATTGAGGGGTGACAAATCTCATCTAATTTTGCACCACTTCAGGCACTGTAATTTAACTTTCATTTTTCTACCTATCAAGGAAACCTGTACTTTTCCTTAAGGTTTATTACTTGGGGATTTAGGAGAAAAAGCAACACTATGATTATGAAATCTGGCATCCTTCAGAGTGAGGTTATGGTAATTAGAGAATACCTGCTACATAGATTCAGGGCTAGGGATCTGTCCTAAGCACTGTAACATTAGGCCCTTAAGAACATTTAGATTCAAAATAGTACTCACAAGTATGCAGGCAGTAATACTACTCAAAGAGATGCAGACAGCAAAAAATATATTCAGTGGTTTGGGAGGTAGTTGAGGGAAAACAAAAGCACTGATCAGTGTAACCTGTATGGAGAGAGATTTTTTTTAAGGCTTTAAGAGTAACTGCAAAATTTGGTTAGACTCCAATAACATATGTCCATTGTAAAACCATATTCAAGTTACTTAACACTTTTTTTTTTTTGGTTTTTTTGAGGCAGGGTCTCCCTGTAGCCCCAGCTGGCCTGGATTTGGCTATATAGACACCTGATACTTGGATTGAAGGTGTGCATCACATGCCCAGTTTAACACTTTTTTCTAACTTTCCCTTCACTTAGAAAGGAGGCAAAAAACAAAAACAACCCAAACTCAGCCAGGCATGGTGGCATACGCCTTTAGTCCCAGCACTTGGGAGGCAAAGATAGGCAGACCTGGGCTTGAGGCCACTTACTTGAGGCTACAGGGAACCCTGTCTCAAAAAGGTGTCCCCCTCCCCCCAAAAAAAGACTTCATTAATAAGATTGGAAACAACTTAAATCTCATTCTCAATAACTATTAGAAAGTTCAGAGCATATTTATCTTGACTATTCCTATCAAAAGTGGTTTGGCTTAGTTTTATGAAAAAATACTTAAGATGAGGTTTTTTTTTGTTTTGTTTTTATTATTTTTATGTGTATGCATGTATTGCCTGCATGTAGCTCAAGTGCACCGTGTCGTGCAATGCCTGTGGAAGACAGAAGAGGCTGTCGTATCCCTTGGAACTGGAGTTACGGACAGTTGTTAGCTACCATGTGGGTGCTAGGATTCGAACTTGCAGAACCACCAGTGTTCTTAACCGCTGAGCCATCTCTCCAGCCCCTGAAGATGAGTTTTTAATGCCCATTTTGTTTCTACCTTGTATTAAAAAGCAATAGAAAAAAAAAAGTTCACCCTCTTAAATTTAATCAGTGTCCTCAACAAATGGCATTTTCAAATTTTGGAATCTATAGGCCCTGATGTATGCTATACAGAATGTAAAATTACCATACTATACACTGACCAAACCTTTTAAAACTTGGCCAGAGTAAATTTGAGGTATTAGAAGAATGGGAGGTTTTTTGTTTTTGTTTTTGTTTTCATTTGTTTTTAAAACAAAAATAAAGAATGGGAGTTTGTGGAGTTAATGGAAGCCACTGTATTTCTTTTCAGATTTACATGACAAACTCAGTTGGCTGGCTGACTTGACTGTTTTGCATGCTTACCTTGGAAATAAGAAGGTAGCAATCAAATTAATTAGCTTAAAATTTTTAGTTGCCAACTGTAGTTTTTTGGTAGTAAAATTGAAAGCATTAATTTGACTGAACATCTCACATGCTTATGGATTACTCTTAAAAGTTTTTCATTTTGTTTGGGGAGAACTGAATTCTTAATATGAAAGTTTTCAAAATTGGCTAAGAGTGTAAATGTGGCACAAAATAAAGGTACTTACTAGAATCAATAAGGATGTTAAGCTGCCAACAACTAAATTGATGATTCGGTCCTGAAAGAAAAAAAGTTTGTGAGCCAAATAACTTGAACTCCTGGTGCTTTCAGAATATAGCTGTTGGGATGATTCAAAATAAAGAAACCCAGGTCTGCCCTTCTCTGAAGAGGCTTAACAGATGCAAATGTACTGTCATAAGAGTGGAAAATGAGGCTGAGTTTTTGAAGAGGTGAAAAGACTAAATGGGGAACATATGCTGTTGGGAATGTATGAGGGGGACAGGTGCTCAGATGGCCAGTCCATAGCCTGGGTGGAAATTACCAGGAACCTGACTAATATGGATGTATGTAAGTGGCACGGCTTAGGATGCCTGGTTTATCTAAAATGAGATGGTACTGTTGGAAAGACCAGCATGTCAGGCTGGAAGCAATCACAAAGACCATCTAGTCTAGTGATCATTTCTTTTGCCAACTTAATAGCAAAAGACTTTGGTATATTAATAAATAGAATTACCTGAAGACCCAAGGGGCCTATCCATTGAATTTTCTTGTGGTTTTCATCCCTAACCCAACCAATTTTATAGAATTGTGTGTGTGTGTGTGTGTGTGTGTGTGTGTGTGTGTGTGTGTATCTTTTTGAGACAAAGTCTCCCGGTAGTCCCAGCTGTCCTGGAACTCACTATATAGACCAGGCTGGCCTTGAACTGACAGAAATCCACCTGCCTCTGCCTCCCGAGTGCAGGGACTAAAGGTGTGTACCCCCACCCCCAGCAGAATTCCTTTTTTTTTTTTTTTTAACTGATCCAATCCTAATTTTAACAGATTAAGGTAAACGTAGGCCCAGTGTGGCTATACTGCTTGCCAAAAAACAGAAAATTATAGGCAACTCTGAAACTGAGGATTATTAACGTTAAAGTAATAGTAGGTTGGGAAGTTATTTACAGAACTACGGAATAAAAGGCCAAGATTGTAGCTCAGTAACTTCAACACTTGTCTAGCACATGCAGGGCCTTACGTTTGATCCGCAGCACTACCCAAAAAAATTTCCAGGTTTAAGACTTGATCAGGAAATAGTACTTGAAGGCTGCCAAAGTAATCTGCGAAATCAAAGCTGAGTCTAATCGATCAGGAGCTACCCCAAGGCCTTGCACATAATGCTAAGCAAACTAGTTAACACTTCCTCAGCCCTTGAATCTTTAATGATTCTTTTGGTATCATTAAAAAAATATATATGGAATGTGAACTAACAGTTTTTTTTTAAAGCAGGAACAATCCACAGCAACAAACTAAAACCTTATTTCCAAGTTGACTCCTTTTAAAAATACAAAGAAATTGCTGGGCGTGGTGGCGCAAGTCTTTAATCCCAGCACTCGGGAGGCAGAGGCAGGCGGATGTCTGTGCGTTCCAGGTCTACATAGTGAGGTCCAGGTCAGCTGAGGGATCAAGGGGACCCTGACTCAAAAAAAAAAAAAAAAAAAACCAAAAAATACAAAGAAATTAAAAGTGGCAGGCAAAGCTGGGGATTGGGGGTATAATAAAGCCAATTTTAGGTGTGTCTTATCTGAGCAAAGCCAACCACAGCTCTCCAGATGAAGACTACTGCAATTCAAAGGTTAGAAGAAAAAGGAAACAACTCCAACTACACCCTCACTGCACTAAAAGAACTTAGCAGATCTTAACACCACAGCCCACAAGAGTGTGAAATTAGGAACAGTTGTTAAGAGACCTCGAAGCAATTCGTAAGTAACTTAGTCCCTCCCACACAAGACTGACTAGCATGTACTTATTTTTATTTAACAAGAATAAAATCTTTACGAGTATGAGAAAAGTTTCAGATACCCTGTCTATTCAGAGAATATCTGTTCCCGGAGATTTGTAGAAATTTACTGTGAGTCTGTCTCCTAAAAGCTCTCTCACCAATAGAATCCAGGAAAGAGGTTCAAGTAAGAAGCAGCCAAGATAAATCCCTAATTTCCAAATGTCACAGCAGCATGTCCACCACAATCAAAGCAAAGGGGAACAAATTGATGAAGGGAGAGTAACTTGACCCCAGAACTTTCACATACCTTCTCTCACAATTCTAGGAATGAGGGGCTTAGTTGGTAAAGCACCTGCCACAGAAGCCTAAGGATCCCCAGCAATCACTAGATACAAGGGCTAGAGAGAGATGGCTGAGAGGCTAGGAGCACTTCGAGTTCCTTCCATAAGACCCAGAGTTCAGTTCCCAGGACCCATCCATATCATATAAGAGTTGCTTGCAACTGCTTATAACTAGCTCCAGGGAATTTGACCCCTCTTCTGGCCTCTGAACACAGACACATTAAAGTCTTTAAAAAGAAAAAAAAAAAAAAAACAGTAGTGTGCATATTTAACCCCAGTGCTGGGGGGCTGGACACAAGTGGATAGATTACTGGTGCCCAGTGACCAGCCAGAGTACCTGAACTAAGAGACCCTGTCTTGAAAAATACAGTATAGTGATAGAAGAAAACATCCAGCATCAACCTCTACCCTCTACATCCATGCATACATAGACCACACACACACACACACACACACACACACACACATAAATACAGAAAGAAAGCTAGGCATGAAATTGCAATGTGATTGGTGCATGGAGAAACAGTGCCTAAGGTCTCATATACCAATAAGTTAGAGAAACAAGAGCCAGTGTCAGGCCTGCTTTCCCCATGTTCCTACTTTACATTCCCCACCAGCACCCTAGAAGCAACCATTGCTATAAAGATGACAGATGGCACTTCACAAAGCCTATTAGTAACCTATTAAACTATTAAGACTAGCATATCCACTTAATCACTGTAATGAAAATATATCTAAACTAACAAATATATAATAATGTCTAAACTAACAAATACTTCCCTGCCTGGCTTCTATACAGTCACTGAACAAAATTTTGTCCCATTCCTAAGTATCAGTTACTGTGCTCAAAAGCAGTTCTCTCCCTTGTTCCTGAGATGAACTATTAGGACATGGCAGGAGTGTTTCTTAACATTGTTTGCTTTCCCCAAGCCAATGAGTATCTTGGTTTGGGTTTCCTGCTATACACAATCATGAATCCAGTCAAAGAACCACAGAGTTAATTTTGGGAAGTACTACCTAAGTCATTTATTTAAAACCTACTGTATTTCAGATGCAAATACAATAAAACCATCTCTACTCTCCAAAAGTTTGCATTACCCAGGGTTCAGGAAATCAAGAAGAGACTACTAGAGAAAAACAAACCTGAAAGAAGTTACGAGCAAGAGAGGGAAAGAAGGTTCATGAAGAGAAACTCCAAAAAGACAGGAGAACAAAAGACTTATTACCACAAAGAAATGGGCAAATTGAGATAGCTGAGAGGAAAAGAGCTGGGACGTATGTAGTGAGACTAGCCTGAGCTAAAGGAGCCACAACTTTGTGTTCCTTTAAAATGAGGAAGTGAGGAAAAAAGGTACACAACAAGTGTTCACATTTGTTGTAGTAGAAAGTTACCCTGTAAACAAGTAAGGAAAACACTGCCTCCATTTACTGTTGGGTAACTAGGTTCAGTGAGACCCACTGAGCTGCCAAGGTCACATAGCTAGGTAATGGCAAAAGTCTCTGGTCCAATTTTTTTTTTTTTCCCTCCCTTTTTTGGTCTTTTTGAGACAGGGTCTCCTGTAGCTCCAGATGGCCTGGAACTGGCTATGTAGACGAGGTTGGCTTTGAACTTAGAGAGATCCGCCTGCCTCTGCCTCCCAAGTGCTGGGATTAAAGGTGTGTGCCACCATGTCCCACTCTGTCCAATGGTCTTAATTATGAGATACAAATCTAAGAAGCAGTTCAAAATATCTTAGACTACTTAGACTATCACATTTGAACCTTGAAATTATAGTCAGGCCGGGTGTGGTGGCGCATGCCTGTAGTCCCAGCACTTGGGAAGCAGAGGCAGGGAATCTGTGAGTTCCAGGCCAGCTGGGGCTACAAGGAGACCCTGTTTCAAAAAGACCAAAGGGGGAAAAAAAAAAAAGAAATTACAGTCAGGAGGCCAAGGTTCATAACTCGTGCCACTGGCTATGTGACCCCAAATGGATCCCTTAACCCATTTTGGTCTATCAGATAAGATAGGGATAACTGATACCTGGTCCCTGCTAGCCCCCGATCTTGCCTGGTCAGTCATTGTTCAACACAATGATAGAAGACCTGGGGCTCCAGACTCATTTCAGAAGTCCAGGTAGCACTGGCTCCTACAAGAAGTTGGCAGTAGCATCCCAAGTAACCAAAAGCCAGCAGTTCTCCACTCCCAGGAAATAATCCTGTTGCTGTAGAGTTCAGAATGCTAAGTATCGTGTTCAACCTTCCATTTCCATGGCAATTTACATTTTGCCTACTCCCAAAACAGATTTAAAGGGCTTGTGCTGAATATTAAAACTCAAGCCAACAATAAAAAAATGAAGGCAAAATTCCTAAAGGAACATTTAAGGGAGGGAGAGTAAAAGAATTTATATTTTTAAATTCACCTCTGAAAGCATTTCTGATGTAACTTCAAGTCTAGTAAAACAGTCTTCCCCTCAATGAGCTTTTACTTTTCATGGCTTCAGTTACCTGTGGTTAGCAACCCAAAAATATTAAATAGGAAATTCTAGAACTAATTTACACATTTTAAACTGCACTATTGTAACATGATGAACTCTCACGTTGTCTAGCTTCATCCTGCCCAGGATGTCTTTTCACAATGTCCATGCTCAACACACTACCATCACTACTCATTTAAGTAGCCATTGCAGCTGTCAGATCTCAATTGCAGCACTTCTGTTCAGTAACACTAATAACAGTGATATACCACAGAGATACCAAAGAGAAGCCATACAAGTGCTGCCTTTAAGTGAGATGATAGAACTGCTCACCTTAAGGGAGAATTTTAAGCTAGTTTTACTGTTGATTTCAAAAGGCAAATTACTGTGACAGTGCTTAGTAAGTACTTAAGAGGAAAAGATACTAAATGATATTGTCTGTGATTTCAGGCATCTTTGTAAATAAAGAGGGACACTGTTTTAACATCCCTGGCAACTAAGGGTT